AGGTCGGGGTGGGAGTGCTAGCTAAAGGAACAGTGAGTTGGTCCATCTCTATCTCAGTCTGTCCCCCACCCTCCTTTCCCCGACCCCATCCCCCACCTCTCCTGCTCTGTAAGTTAACCCCTTACCCTATGTGTGTAATTGGGTTTTCTCCCTTCCCTCTCACGTTCCCCTCGCCCTATTGGAAAGGTTCTGGTGTATACTATCAACCGAAGGTCTTCTGAACCTGCTCCACCATTGTTGTCCTCTAGAACACCCCAGCCACCATTGCCCTGATGGTAGTGAAGGACGCCCAAACGCACAAAGCCCTCTCCCATCTCCTGCGGACGGACACCCCTTCCCCTCAGGTGTCTGTCACTGTCTGCCCTCTTCCCCAAATCTTTCCTCATGCTGCCCACACTGCCTAGACCCGAAGCCCAGACCTGTCTTGCCCTCCTCTTTTTCTCTGCCCTCTTGCCTGTCTCCCAGAGCCTCCTCCCAAGGGAGCAGCTCCCTGTAGTCTTGCTGGCTGCTATTCCGTGCTGTGTTCTTGCAGGCTGTCTAATAGCCTTTTCCCAGGCTCCTGCTGCCCCTGTGCCCTAGGCTGCCCAGCTCCACCAGCTCCAAGTTGGATTTTCATTAACCCAGAAGCCGCATCCCAGCTTCCTTACTTGAAGCCCTCCGCAGCTTCTGCTGCAGCAGGGTAACTTTAGCCTCTGAGGCTGATAGACCTTGATCACAAGGCTCACTGCCCCACCGAGGCCTCTGGTGTCTTCCTCGTGCTCAGGCCCGTGTCTGGACACTCGTGCTGACTGACTGCCTGGTCCGACCAGCCTGCATCTTTATACAAGCCCTGTGCATATCCTGTCTCCGTGCCCTTGACCACGTTAGCAGATACCAATCACCCTCCTCCCAGCTCTCTCCCGGCTCTCTCTCTCTCCCATGCATCATCCTATTTGGCTCTCCTTGGAGCACTTAACCAGCATGAGGTCATCTTTTATTTTTGAGCACATTGTCTGTGCAGGGGAATGTCTGCACACAAGAACGAGACCAAGCCCCTGCCCACCACATTCCCCACCCCTTCCCCACTCCTACCACAGGTCCACTGGACAGCAGGCACCTGTGATGTCTTTTTCAATAAAGAGCATGCAAACCCCACAAACATCCCACAAGAATGAGACCAAGCCCCTGCCCACCACATTCCCCACCCCTTCCCCACTTCTACCACAGGTCCACTGGACAGCAGGCACCCGTGATGTCTTTTTCAATAAAGAGCATGCAAACCCCACAAACATCCAACAAAAACCTGCTGCTGGCTCTTTGCCAAAGGCAGGTTCAGTTTCCTTGTCTCTCCCCTCCCTACTTACAGCCTACCTAGCATCCCCTGCTGCAGAACTTACTCCCAAGCCCTGTCTGATGCTCCCCAGAGGTAGACTGCTCCGTAAGGGAGTGAGCTCCCCAGTGCAAGAACCATTCAAGGGGAAACTGACGTTCTGGTGTTGGCCGAAGTGCTAAGAACTTTCCTCCCTTTTGTGCCTGACATGGGTCCCAGAACACAGGGACAAAGAGAGCTTTCCCACATAGGGAAACCTCAGCCCCTCTTACCCTTCTGCAGATCCAGGCAGCCAAACAGCTCTGAGCTGTCCAGGCCCTGTAATCTGCGAGACCTCTGGCCAGGCAGAGGGAGTCAAGGAACCCATGAGTGAATGACAGAGGGCAGATCGCAGGCCCTGAAGACTGGTGCACTTAGCCGGTGCCACGTGGGAGGTAGAGGTGGAAGCATTGGAAGTTTACTGTCATTCTCAGCTACAAAGCAAGTTCGAGGCCTGCCTGGGCTACATGAGACTCTGTCTCAAAAACAAACAAACAAACAAACAAACAAACAAAGGAGATTGGGGGGGGGGCTGGAGAGATGGTTAAGAGCACTGACTGCTCTTCCAGAGGACCTGGGTTCGATTCCCAGCATCTTTCTGGCAGCTCACAACTGTTTATAACGCCAGTCCTCTGGAGAGAAGGGCTCTGGGTTTGAACTGGCAGGCACTAGCCAGCCCTGCTTTCCAGCCATACTGCCAACCTCCCACCCGCCCTGCCTTCCGCAAGGGGGAGACACCCGCAGGCAGTCTCCTCCACCCCAACTGCTTACCTTTTCTTCAGGAGATCCCCCTAAAGAGCTGGAACTGACTGAGCTCCACCTGCCTAGCCGAGCTGCTGCGGTCTAAAGTCAATCAATCCAGATGAGCGTCAGGTTTAGACAGGCCATCACACCCTGGATTAGCTTTGGTGGCTAGCCACGGGGTTCCTGCTGATCCTGTCGGTAGGATGCAGGGCAAAGGCAACTCCTGGGACAGTAGATGGGCGCGCATGCAGATGTGCACACACACATACACACACACATTGGCCTTGCCTCTAATCATTCAGAAGCCTGCCTGGCCCTCCTCTGCAGTGGCTTCTTGGGCATGCTAGCTGGAGACTTTCCGTCTCTTGCCACCTCTGGACGAAGCTGAAGGGGAAAATTAACTCATAACAGTTGAAATAGAATTATCCACACAGTTATACTGGGCCCACAATCAGTGGGGTGATTGGCTTCTGCTTTGTTTTGTTTCAAAAGAAGGCAGGTGTATTCAGGACTCTGCAGAGAGCAGCAGGCAGGGCAGCGACCGAAGAGCAGCTACCTGTGAGGCGATTGGCTTGGAGCCTCAGCCAGGCCTGTTGGGGCATGACATCAGGCATGTCACAGCCTCCAGTTTTCATGAGGTTGGCTTACTGTCCCTGGAAGCCTGCTCTGTGGGCTTGCCAGGGCCGCCGCAGTGAAATGCCATGGGCTGGGGGCTTACACAACAGCAGTTTACTTTTTCTCTGAGCTCAGAAGCCCAAATCCAGGGGGTTGGCAGGTGCATTTCTTCTGGAGCGTTCCTCCTTGGCATGCACGTGATCTTCTGTGTGTGCGGGTGTCTCTGCTTATGTCTGGATTCTCTCTGATAAGGATAGAGGAGGACCTTGGATGAAGACCCATCCTAGGGACTGGGGAGGTGGCACTTGCTGCACATATATGAGGACCTGCATCCCGAGCATCCATGTAAAAACAACATGTGTTTATACACCTATAACTCCAGCACTGAGGGGTCAGAGACAGGAGGATCATTGGGGTATCATGGCTGCCAGCCTAGCTGCAGGTTCAGTGAGAGATCCTGTCTGAAGGGAACGGACAGAATGTTAGAGCAGGCCACCTGGCATCCTTCTCTGAAGCACACACACGCACACAAACACGCACACACACAAATGTGTATGCGTGTGCGTGACCCTATTCCAAAGGCCTTATTTATTCTTTGAGACAGAGTCTTGCTATGTAGCTTTGGCTGGCCTGGAACTCACCATGTAAATCAGGCTGGCCAAGAACTCACAGAGGCCTCCCGAGTGCTGGGGATTAAAAGTGTGTGACACCAGCTCCACTTTATCTTTTGAGACAGGGTCTCCCGTTGGCTCCAGAGTTCACCAGTTGCACAGGCTGTCTCCCTGGTAAGCGCTGAAGATCTGCCCTTCTCCCCCACACATCCCGGCGCTAGAGTTACGTCCGGACACGCACAACCCTGTGCTCCTTTTCCATGGTTTCTGGGGATCCAAACTCAGTTCCTCAGACGTGTGCACTCTGCCTGCCTCCCCACGTCCCCTCATAAATTCTTTTGATCCTTCCTCATAGCCAGGCATAAATTCTTTTGACCCTTCCTCATAGCCAGGGTGTGCAGACACCTCCTCTTGTGCGCCCTGTGTGGTATACATGCCTGGTGACTTTGGACTGGTTGACATTTTGGAGATCGTGTTATCCAAGTGTGTTTAGCTAAGCACTGCTATAGAAAAGTCCTAGATAAAGATTTCTAGTCTAGACAACAGATCCTTCGCAGTGATCCCTGCATCAAAAGGGGTGTTTCCTTTCCCGACCTGCTTACCTCCCTTAGCTACAAAGATACTTTGCTTTGCAAAACTGAGATGTCTGATCCACCAGCACACAACCTTGCCTGTGCCAGGGCAGAATGGCTTCCACATAACCAGCACCGAGTCTACGAGCTCTGTTCAGTGGTAGACACTGGCCCTAGATCCTGAGGAACTCAAGGCCCAAGAGTTTGCCTCTTGTGACCTCTCGCCATGGGGCTTGTGAAAGCTTTGTTTCCATGCTCAACTTGCTGTTCTGTTGGGGGGCCTCTTCCTATGGAGGCTGACTGCTTCTTGGGGTATCTGGGGCACCCCAGACCTACATCAGTGTTTGTCTTCACTGCAAGCAGCTCACTTCTACCCGCGCCCTCCCCCTCGAACCTGAAGTTTCCACCCTGGCCTGCCAGGCTTCCAAGCCACAGTTCCTCGGGCCTCTGATGCCCTCCCCACACCCTCCAGCTCCACATAGTTCGCCGGTCACATGGCTCTCTCATCCTCAAACATTCCTGAAGTTGAAGTCACTCCTGCCTTCCACCAAGGCCATCCCAGGACGGGATGGGATGCCTCTCTCCGGCCATCTGTTTATTGAATCCATGTGTGGGAGAGACCAGGCTAAGGGGGTGGAGTTCCAGTTTGGGGTAAATGGTCACTGCACTGAGTAGAGACAGAAAATGACACTGGAAGGAGCCAGAGGCCTCTCTCTTGGAATAGCTGTGCTCTTGAGCTGGCTTTGGCCCTAGGTAGTACAGCCAGATTTTTTGGCGTCTCTCTTTACTTACTAAGGTGAGGGTGGGATTTCCAGGCCACTTACCAAAATGCCCGGACAAGCACTACCTGGGAATGGCCTAAGTTGAGGGATTGTGATCCCCAGGGTCCTCTATCTCCTCCTCCTGTCCTTGACTCTGCCCTGACACCACAGGTTCCACCACAGCCGCTGGACACGCTCACACAGACCTTGGAGATGCCTTCCCCACTCCCTCCCCACTCATCTTCCCCAATTTAGGGAGCCGCCTCTCCCAGCCCACATCTCACCCTCTCCTGAGAGAGAACAGGGTTCAGCTAGGTAAGCAGCACTGACCCCTGCCATTGTCTTGCAGGATGAAGAGCAGGACTCAGACAGTGAGACGGGGCCGCCCACTGAAGAACCTGAGGAAGAGGATGGTGAGCGAGTGGCACCTACTCCCATGAGGCTGCAGTCTTTGGCTCTCCCTGGACCACTCTGGGGGCAGTGGGATGGGAGAACTGGGGACCACAGGGACTTGAGGGTGGATGGAGGGAGAGGGGCTACGGGATGATCCGATCAAGGCCCCCACTCATCCCTCGCCTCCCTGCCTATACCTCCTTTGCACTTTTGGTCCAGGCTTTTCTGTCTGTAAATAAGTCATTTAGTGCAGGAGGCCTTCCCTTAGAGGCAGGAGCTCTCTGGCTTTCCCTTGCTGCCAGGTCTCTTCTCCTGTCTTTCTGTTGGTTCTCTCTGGTGTATTTTGTTGGGAGGTCTCCCAGGGGCTGTTTCTCCTGAGCTCTGGGTGGCTCAGATGGGAGAGAGAGCCACAGGAATATATGAAACCCAGAGGCCCCCGTGTGTCCTAGACAGACAGACAGACAGACAGACAGACAGACTGGCTGATCTGTCACATTTTATTTCCTTCACAAAGAAGCTGGAGAAAAACAAAGCAAAACAGTTAATTTTATCAGACCAGTACAGTGAGAGCACAGAGATATTGCATTTTTTTATTAAAAGCAGCTTTAACGGGAACGGTGGGGAGCAGGGGTTGTAACTGAGGCTCCTGTGGGTGTCAGTGGCAATGAGGCTCAGAGAGTAAGCAGAGCTGTGTGTTTCTGTTGGCACAGCCTCCGAGGGTGCCCAGGCACAGGCCGTGGTAGGTGAGGATTCCAACTTCTGGCCAGCCAGGCCTATGCTCTGCCCTCCTAGGTCATCGAGCTAACAGTAACTATAGCCCAAGAGTCTGTCCCTGCTGGCACAGGTTCTAAGGTCCTGTTAGTGACTTGAGCATGCGAAAGGGAGGTTGAAACGAGTCTGGAGGCCCCTGGGTGCAAACAGAGAGACCCCACTGGCTGCCATTCCTAACTCCGCTGACGTCCACCATCCACAAGCCCTGTACCCAGCCCCCTGCCTGCTGCTGAGTTCTTCGCTTTTCATCTGAGCTGCTGTCCTGGACAGCCCCCATCCTAATGGCCTGCTGCTATAACCAGGCAGAGGGAGAAAGGCCAGTGGGCTCAGCTGTCAGAGGAAGCAAGGCTGCCCCCCCTCTGACCCCCCCAGCACACCGTCCCCCACGCGCCCCTCTGCAGTAAGCAGCTCAGCCTCCCAGGCTAATTGATTAGTGTCGCTAAAATGACTTCCCCAAGTGACTCATAGATTGACGAGGCCTGGAAGAGGAAGCCCCCACTCATACGCGCTCCCTGGGGGCTCTCACACCCAGCCCGCCTGCTCTAATGAAATTGGATTCGGCCTACCGCGTATGATTAAGTTAAAGCCTGCGTCAGTGGGCCATCCTGGTGGGCTGGAAGAGCATCAAGCTAATAAGACTTGCCCCATAAACCAGAGCCCAGCCGTACACCCAGCTGGCAGAACTTTTGATGTTTATTTTTCTAAAGCGGCACCGCGGCACCCGAAAGCCAGGGTTCTCCTTGGTTTTGTCACTTCTTTGGTTCCATCCTGGGGGTTGTCTGCACACTCCAGCTACAGCTGCCTCTTTGGCATGCAGGATATTCAGGGCTTTGGGATAGACGAAGACACCGCCCCTTCGCTCCTGGGTCTGAATGCTGCAGCTCTCGGCTGCAGATTGGAGTTGCTCAGGGAAGCTTCCTGATCTCCGGCCTCATCTGTCCACATCCTGGACTGGCTTGAAAAGCTCTTGGTTCTGATGACCCAGATGGAGTGGAGTTTCCTTATTAACCTAGCTAGGGAGAGCTTATAGCATGCCTGAGCGGTGAGCGGGAGGGGGGCGGTGAGGTGGTGGGAGATGGAGGGGGAGGTTGCAGAGGAGAGGGAGGCTTTCTGAGAAGGATGGTTCAGCTCTGCCTCAGACCCCCAGAGCCACCACCTCACCCAGCAAGAGCCCTGGCAACCCCACCAACCCCCGTTGACTCACCCACAGTCACCTTGCTGTCTGTCCTGTACCCTCTGTAGAGTTGGCCCAAAGCTTAATGTGGACCAGGCTGGCCTAGAACTCACAGCGTTCTGCCTCCAAGTGCTGGGAGTAAAAATGTATGCCACCACACCCACCCCTCCCACCTCAGCCACGCTTGCCTAGGGCCAGCTGTTGTTGATTTGAGGCTTCTTTGTGTGCGTTTGTCTCCTGTTTCTGCGGGATCACCAGAACCTGGAATTGCACTCTCTAAATGCTTGTGGAATGATTTGAGGAGCAAATCAGGCCTTGTGAAAGGTAGAGATTGCTTCCTGAGGAAGGACTCCGGCCCTGGGCAGCTAGATAGTGAGTATCCCAATCCTCCTGAGTGAGGATTGATGTGGGGGACAACATGGCCCCTGCAGGATGTTTGGGCTCTGAGATCATTTCCAGACCCTTCTTCCTCAGGAGAGGATGCTAATCCCAGAGGCCTTTTCTTCCAGGTAGCATCCGTGTGTCTCATGACGTGAGTGGGGAGCCTGACCTGCTCTGAGAGGATGTGGAGGTGTCTCAGAGACACTAGGAAGTTCTAGAATAGCAGCTGGAAGAGGAGCTAGCATTGTCACGGGCTGTCGCCATCCCCGACCTTTTCTACCCTCCTAGGCATCAGGTAGAGGCCAGCCAGCCCGCTATTCCTGCCCCTGCCTTCCTACCTCCCTACACATTAGATAGAAATGAGCCAGCCAGCCTGCTGTTCCTACCCCAGCCTTTCTACCTTCCTAGACATTAGGTAGAAACGAGCCAGCCCGTCAGTCTCAGTCTCCCAGACACTGGCTGGATTACGAGATGCTGAGGGCATTGCTTCCAAGCAGACTTTCTCATCAGGACACTCCACTTTCCCATGCTAACCTGCAGTCCTTGCCTTCCTCTGCTGGGGTACCCCAGCATCTGTGCTGGCGCTGTGTCACATGCCCTGCCCCCCCCCCCCCACTTCAAACCTACAGATCTGCCCTTTCTAACAGTCTGCAGGCACTGGAGGCTGCTGTCAGACGCTGGCAGTCCGCCAAGCCTGTTCATTTCTGCATCCCATCTCGGGCCTGATGTATGCCTTCAATTGCTGATAACCCGGGGGGGGGGGGCAGGGAGACTGGGCCTGGCTGTCCCAAGCTTAGGGGAAGAAAAGGAAGGTCTGAGTCCCTGGGGCCCAGTGTGGGGACCCATGTGTTCCCTGGGAAGTGAACAGCATTTGCTATAGGTACAATCAACATAAACTGGGGTTGAGAGAGGCCAGTGTGGCGCGAGTTGGGGTGGGGGTGGGGGAGCCTTGCAGGCAAACAGCTGAAGTGTAGGCTCAGAGGCAGGCAGATAGCTCTGGGCTGGCTTAAACCGGACTGGGGAGGGAATGACGTTTGGAGGATGGAGCAGCACAGGGGATGGTTTCTGTTTGCGCCTTTCAGTTCCCTCTGACCCCATTAAAGACCAAGGCGGCGGGGGGGGGGGGGGGGGGGGGGGCTGGAGAGATGGCTCAGAGGTTAAGAGCTCTCTGGTTGATCTTCTAAAAGACCTGAGTTCAATTCCCAGCAACCACATAGTGGCTCACAACCATCTGTAATGAGATCTGGTACCCTCTTCCGTCACGCAGAGGACTGTTACACAGAGAAACCCTGTCTGGAAAAAACCAAAAACAAACAAACAAACAAACAAAAGAGCAAAGTGTAGGAAGCTATAGGAATTCATAAAAAGTATAGGATGAGCCTGGGGTCAGGTGCTGGGGTGAAGATGGTGTCACTGAGTGTGTGGTCCCTCTGAAGCTGCTACAAGGACTGCGTGTGTTGGCCTCTCTGACTGTAGGTTTCTCTGTGTAGTTCTGACTGTCCTGGAACTTGCCCTGGAGAACAGGCTGGCCTTGAACTCAGAGATCCACCAGCCTCTGGCTCTTGATTGCTGGGATTAAGAGGCCTGAGCGGCCACCACCTAGTTTTTTGTTTGGTTTTCACCCACCCACTGAGCTGTGTTGCTGGGCTGTTTCTTTGAAAAGGAACAAAGGGAGAGCCGGGGATATAGTTCAGGGAAGAATGCTTGCCTGGTCTAGCACGTGCAAGGCCCCGAGTTTAATCCCCAGCTACACACACATGCACATGCGTGTGCGCACACATGCATGCACACACACACACACACACGCGCACGCGCGCGCGCACACACACACACACACACACACACACAGGGAGAGGGAGAGGGAGGGAGAATCAGCTAAAACTAACCGTGCAAGGGGATGCTACTGAATACCCATCGGGACAGCCTAGCTCCCAGAGTTGGCACTAAACTTGCCCGCTGTCCCCACAGGAGCGGCCTTCTCCTTTAAGTACAGCCCTGGGCAGCTGAGGGGAAGCCAGTACAAGAGGATGATGACCAAAGAAGAGCTGGAGGAGGAGCAGAGGTAGGCGGCTTCTGGAACACGGGTGGAGGGGCCGAGCAGGGTGAGCCAGCCCACCATGCCCTCTTGCATCCTTTCTTGTCCTGGTAATCTTCAGTCAGCCTCAGTCAAGGGACGATGTTCCCCTGGAGCAGGCAGCTCAGAGGGGCGGGCATGAGATGCCAGGGGAGGGCCTGGAGCAGCCTCACTGGTCACTTGTGCGTGGAGCCCCTGACAAATCCAATTTGTCACTTGAGGACAGAGCGGGATTCTTGGTGCTCATCCATCTGGCATCCTCCCTCCTCCCGGCCCCCACCCGCGGTGTCGTTCTCTATCTGTTCCGCTTCACACAGCTCCGCTCTGCACAGCTCAAGGCAGCTGTGTGACTTCTGGGTTCTGGAATCAGGCCACTCTCCCCTCACCCACCAGAGCCCTCAGTGTGTCCATCAGGCTCCCCACAACGTTTTATCTGGATTGCATGGGTGGCTGAGGGGGGCTGTGAAGCAATAGCGTGGCCAAGGCGGTCATAGGAGAAACAGGGTCTGCACTAGCCCAGCTGCCCCCCCCCCCCGCCATGTGCACCTGCTGTCCCGCCCCCAGCGGTGTGAGCACTATAGTCAAGTCTCACTGAGAGCAGCACCATTTCCCAGTCCGGGCACCCAGAGGCGCTGGTGGGGGACTAGCCCTGACTCATGAGCGCAAGCAAGGAGTAGAAGGCCCAAGTGAGATGCACGGCTTACCCACCCTCTCTGGGCTGCTCCTGGGCTCCCAGCTTCCCTCCGGTGTCAGAACCACACTGCTTGCAAGATCCTGTCTCTCTGCCAAGTTGCTGACTTCACAGGAGCCTCCTCACCCCGGGTGCAGAGGGATGTCAGGGTAGGCACAGGCAGGAAGACGCCCTTACCATGCAAGTCCCTAACTCCTTGGATGAGGACGCTGCCTCTTGTTGTGACCCAGTTTGCTACCTTTGTATTTCAGGATTGAGCTGACCTCTGACCTCACCTCCCTGTAGCGGGTCCTTTAGTCCTGGGCCACAAATGTTCTTGCAAACCCTTGTGGTAAGGAGGTTGGTTTTGTAGACTAGCCGTGTTTCCTCTCACGTTGTCTGCTAATGTGTCCCCAACGCCACTGACGTGGTCTAAACCCTCCTCCTCCTCCACCGTCTCCATAACCAGTTAATGCATTTCGTCCCATCTGGACCTGCCTTGTTCTTCCGTGCACGAGGAATCCCAGATACAAAAAGAGCCTTTCCCGGGGACCAGTTCAAGTCCCTGGTAGACCTAAGGGGGTCCAGCTAGTTTGGGTGCTAGTATACTTTTTTAAAAAATATTTATTTATTTGTTATGTATACAATATTCTATCTGTATTTATGCCTACAGGCCAGAAGAGGGCACCAGACCTTATTACAGATGGTTGTGAGCCACCATGTGGTTGCTGGGAATTGAACTCAGGACCTTTGGAAGAGCAGGCAATACTCTTAACCACTGAGCCATCTCTCCAGCCCAGGTTCTAGTATACTTATGGGGGAATGTCATCTCTGAGACCCGAGGTGCTATGGGAATATACATACTTCTTGTGAGGTGACCAGCGTGGCTGCATCTCACCCAGAGGAGAGGTAGCTGATTGTATAGTACACGGTGGAACCCCTGAGAGGGCCTGCAATTCCTCCTGTGTTGCTCTTCTGAGTGGGCCCTGCAGACCAAGGCCTGGGCCACTTGTGGCGCACTCCCTGCAGAGGACAGACATGGTCACGTTTGCTCATTTTTCTGAGGCTGTTTTGAAACTCCAGTGGCAGAGCTGAGATGTTGCCACCAATCTGGAGGGTTCAGCCCTGGCTGGAGAGGCGAGAGAGGGCCTGAACCCCACCCTACCATCCCAGGCGTTTCTGAGGATGGGGCTTTGGCAACACTGTAGCTTCATCCTGTCCTCTCAGGGCGATGCACTGTGGGCCCTGAGGGGCTCTCCTGGTAGCAGAGCAGTTAGGCCTCAAGTTTGAGATCTATCACCATCCCTAGTGTTCACAGTTACTGGGTGGCAGCTAGACCTCAGTTTGGAGTCTGCCACCGCCCCTGTGTTCAGAGCTGAGGCCAGGAAATGAAAAGGCAAAGCCACTCCTGTGTCACTTCAAAGACAGCAGATGCCCCACTGCCTGAGGGCCTTTGCCTCCAAGTCTCCAGGGGACTCCAGACCACCCACTGATGTTTGGCTCGTCTGTGGGCTATAGACCGAGGAACTGCTCTTGGGGTGAGGAAGGAGTCCCCAACTCCTCCTCCTCTGCACAGGGAAGCCCTCACTGTGTGCAGGAGGGGCTGGTGGAGGTCCCGGCAGGGCCCGAGTTCACGTTCATTCCACTCCCTACCCAGCATGTTTCGCTTCCTGTGGCTCTCACACGCCTGCCCCATCTGACATTTGCTTGCTTCCCGCTGACCCCTGCATGTGGCCCCAGCTGAAGCTGCCCAGGGTCTGGGGTGTTTCCCCCGACCACCCCTCTGCCTCGTGATGCTTGGGGTTGCAGAGGCTGTTTAGTTTGGTTTTGACTTTCTGTCTCTGCATTCTGGAGAGATGGTATTTCCAACACAGACCTGGACCCAGCTGAGTTTGAGGAATGGTCCTAGGAGGGACCCCTGAAATAGCAAAACTGTAGAACTGGTGAGGTGGCTCAGGGAGTAAAGGTGTCTGCTACCAAGCCTGACGTCCTGAGTTCGATCCCTGGGACTAACATGAAGAAAGGAGAGAAGTAACTCCCGTGACTTGTCCCTGGCCTTCACAACATACACACTCACACATCCACGTAAAACAAGTAAAGATGTAATAATAATAATAATAATAATAATAATAATAATAATAATAACCCATTCATATTACCATCAAATGAATGAAGCCATCCTCAAGCTGGCAGGGTGCCCGCCAGCTCCGTCCCTACCAGACAACCGTCTGCTCCTAGGCTGCCGCAGGGAGCACCTGGTTAACAGGTGAACGCTGCACTGCCTCCTCGCCTTGAACGATCAGCTGCATCACCACCCTAGCAGCACCTAGAACCCAGCTCTGCAGCGACTCACGGCTCTGCTCTCCCCAGGCTTGCTCACGGGTCCTTGGGGAGTGGCAGTTAGGAAGCTAGAGGCCCGAGAGGGTTCTCCGATCTCAGCTGAGAATTCCTGCCCTCGGATCTGCTCCAGACAAAACTCCTGTCCAGCGCCCGGAAGTGGCCAGGCAGCAAGTGCTGTATTCCTGGCTGCTGTGCACGCTAACCTTTGTCCAGTTCCCTCGCAACGGACATGCACACCCTTCCCCTGCTCCCCACATTGGCTCTATCCCTGCCTCCCCTCTAAGCTTCTCTTGGGGGCGCCACCTCCCTCTGTGTGACTGGGATCGTTGGCTCTCAGGCTTTAGACAGCTTCTCCTAGGAATGAGGCCTTCTCACTCCACAGCTTGGCAGGATATCCCACCTGGCAGTTCCAGAGGGAAAGTGGAATCCAGCTTGCACGCTAGGCTGTGTTGGCAGGTCAGGCCAGATCGCACACTGCTGAGGCTGGCAGTCTGAAGGACTGTCATGCCGTATTGACAGGACCTCAGAGGGTTTAGAACTTCATATTGGGCTAGTAAAGGAGGTGGGAACTCACTCTGGCTCTTCCTGAATCAAACTAAAGGCTGAAAGTATGCATTGACTTCAGCTTCCAGGAGAGGGCGCCAAAGGCACAAAATTAAGATCACTCGCCTTCAGCAAGGTATCCAGGCTTTTGATCCTCCTGGGCAACCTCACAGGAGACAAAGACCCAGGCAGCAGGAAGCAAAAATTACCCACGGCAGTAGGAATGTCTTTAGTGTATCCAGCCACATAGCGAAGGATCAGCAAGCTCACTGCCCAGCTACTCTATACCCAGAAGCTGAAGTGGCTGGTGGCGCCACCTGGATGGGGGGGTGGGGTGGGTGAGGGGTAGGGAGAGGGACAGATGGAGCCCCTGTCACTGCAAAGTGTGTGGAGCAAACTGCTGGACTGAACATGGCCTCTGCGATTCCAACCATCCCCCTCCAGCCCCTGTGCCCACTCTTCCTGTTTGTGCTCCTTCTGAGGTAAACCAAGCAAGATACATGATCTTTTTCTCCCTGTTTCTCTTTACAGAACTGAAGAATAACGAAGGTGTCCTTAGCCTCCTCCCGAAGGCTTTCTTGCCTTTTTTTTACATCTTAAAAGCTTGATTTAAAAAAAAAGAAAAAAAAAAGAAAAAAAGAAACCCCCAGGGAGGAGTCCTTGCAGGCTTGCTGTGGGGGAGAGTTTGTCTGCAAATCTGCTGACAGGCTGATACCCCCACCCCTCTTGGGCTCCCTTGGGCTAGCAAGATCTTTGGGAGCCCTTGTGTCTCTGCCCTGCTCAGAGGTGTTTATGGGGTGGGGAGACAACTTGCCAAGAATGGGCTCGGGTCTTGGGCTTTTCTTACCAGCCGTGTTTGCTTACCACACCCCATTTCCAAACCTGTGCTTCTGTTCTCACTGAAACCAAACCCCCAGAGTTGAGAAGTGACAGGCAAGCGAGGAGAAGCCCCACCGGTGCTCACTTGCTGTTAGAGATGGTCACACACACCCTAGGGCGGGGTGGGGGGCTTTCCTCTTTCTCTCTGGCAGGAATGATTCATGCCAGGTACTGGCTTTAACGTGGCCTCCCTTTTTGCCCCCACTCTCCTCCCGGGAGTCTTGGGTCTAACCCTCTGGTACTAAGGCCTTTTCACTAGTGTTCCTACCAGCTCAGCTTAGTCTCCACTTGGCTTGCAATAGCCGTCTTAGCTTCGAGTAGACTTCTGGGTTGCGCATTTTCAAGGTTATTCCTGGATGACTTTGAACCTCACCAGATAATCAACCAGCGGTCCCAGATTAGTTTTTCAGAATTTTATATTTGACAGTATTTATACTATATATCAGACGACTCTGAAGTCTTAGACTTGTTGACAAAAACATTTTTTTTTTCTAAAGCACTGAGTTTTTAGAAGACTTTCCATTTATTTAATAGAAAACTGGAAACATATCCAGCATTGACTCCTAAGCCGTGTGTTCCTGGCAGCCTTCTCCCGTGCCTGATAACTTGGGTTCGGAGCTTAGGGTTGAGCAGGTAACAAAGCAGCAGACACAGCTCCATGCCTTTGACACAGAGCCACGTGACCAAAGGTCACACTCTTTCCTAAATAGCAATAGTGAAGTCCCTGTCTAGGCGGGATCTCCTCCATACAGAGGAGTGACCTCTGGATACCGTTAGTTAGGCTTGCGTGGAAACCTGAACACGGCTCATGGGCCACAGGCCCTTCCCCCCACTCCTGGCAGCTGGGCTCGCTGTGTACAGCCCGTGTTCTGGCAATAAAACGTTAAGCAGAGGACCTTGGTTACTGTGTGTTTGCTTTGTTTAAAAAGGAAGAAAGACCTCTTTAGAAACAAACTTTAAACCTTTCCTTTTGATGCCTTTGATGCTCCAGCAGCACACAAGGCTGTACACATGCCTGATTCCACGTACACAGCCCAGGCTGGAGACATGGGTGTTGGGCTCAGAACGATGGCTCTTGCAGAGGGTACAATTCTCTTCCCAGAACCCTGATGATGGTTTACAACCATCCATAACTCTAGTTCCAGGGAATCCAGTTCCCTCTCTGACCTCTGAGGGCATCAGGCAAACATGTGGTACACACACACACATACATACATACATACATGTAGATAAACAAATGAAAACAAAGACAAATAAGTAAATACCACGGCCCTGTGGGTAAGGGGTGGTGGTGGTGTACAACCGTGATCCCAGTACCTAGAGGTGCAGTTTACATAGTGAATTCCAGGCTAGCAAAGATTACACACTGAGACCATCTCAACACCCCTCCCCAGAATCCAAAAAATAATAACAGTATTAATAATTATAATGACAATTATGATAAATACACAATTATCATGACCACCAAAACATTATGGACAGTTCATTAAGAGACAGTACTGCAATAAGGAAGGCCGCTTGTTTGTTCCCAGCTGCTCAGCCCCGAAATAATCACACAGAAACTGTATTATTTAAATCACTGCTTGGCCCATTAGCTCTAGCTTATTTACTAACTCTTACATCTTAACCCATCTCCATTAATCTGTGCATCACCACAAGGTCTGGCAGAATGTTTCATGAAGCAGGAACCCTGAAGGATGGTCTCATCTTTAGGCAAGTTCAGCAGTCATTTCTCTGTGTGTCCTGCATGTCCAGTTCATAAAGCAGTCCAGGCAAGAGCAGTTTCTTGGCCAAATGGCTAATAGACTCCATGAGGAACCTCTTTGATGCCCTTCATCCTCTTGAAGTAGATTGGTGCTGCCAGGAACAGATGTGTCTCACTGTCATGAAAGTCCTAAGTTCTTAAAGCATTTTAAATGTCATATTCTAAAGGTCTTTGAAAGGTTTGAAGAATACCTGTCTAACTGAAATATACTTCTATATATCTAGAAAACCTAACATGACTAGAAGCTTGACTATTAAAGATGACTATTAACTTGTATTTCTTAATTATACATTACATTTCTTTTTTTTTTTTTTTTTTTTTTGGTTTTTCGAGACAGAGTTTCTCTGTGGTTTTAGAGCCTGTCCTGGAACTAGCTCTTGTAGACCAGGCTGGTCTCGAACTCCCAGAGATCCGCCTGCCTCTGCCTCCCGAGTGCTGGGATTAAAGGCGTGCGCCACCACCGCCCGGCTTTACATTACATTTCTTAATGAGCTGGACAAACGCAATACCTTAAGCAAGAGCAGAAATACATATACACAGTGTAACAAAATTGGCCTTAAATTTGTATTAATAAACCAAGATCCATACCATACAAATCTCTATGGCATATCCCCCTTTAAATATAAATATTTATAAACAATATTTGGGAATTTGGGCATAGTTCTCTAGACTACTTCCTGCTGATTGGGGACACTGTTAATCAAGTCTTTCATGGTGTATCCTGTGTGCTAGGTTCATCTCAGTCAGCAGTTGGGCAAAATAATTTTTTGGGGGTGTTCACAGCAACCTTTCAGGGGGTCCTGGTGCGTCAAACCACATTAGCCTGGAATGAATACATAGGTTCTCATTCTCCGTGGAAACACAGGAACGTCTTTTCTAAAGCAACATATCCTTAGATCCATATTTTGAAATCAAGACACCTTTAAAGTATATATGTTGGTTTAGCTTAGCAATCCCCAGAATCAAATGTCTTTCTGCAGTCAAAAATTAAAAAACAGACAATAATATACATAATCCAGACTCTCTGTGAATTTTCTATTTTTATATGGCTTATTTTTCTTTATTCCTTTTAATCTATAACTTTGTACTCTGTCTCTTTAAAGACTTTACCTTTTTTAAAAAAAACATTTACTTCATTTTATAACTGCTTATACTCTTTTCTTCTCTCTTCTAAGCCTATATACATAAATCCAACACTGTGAACCATTTATAGGTTTTTTTCCCACCTGAACTTGTCTTTATTGTGTATCTGTAATTCTTTACTGTTCAGGAGCGCTTCTTAAAAGGCTAAGCCCTTCTTATGAACTTAAGTGATGCCATTGCCTGCTTGCCCACTGCCTGCTTGCCCCGCCCATCCCAGCATGGTGGAGCTGCCTGCTGCCTGGAGAGCCATGCACAATGCCCCTTCTCTAGACACAAAGCCAGTCCATGTTGCTACCAAGCAAGCTATAGCATGTTGCTCACAAACCCCATTCAAATGCTCGATCTCCTGAAAAGATCAGAGGTCATGCTGGCAGGACAGCCCAGAAAGCCTGCATTTCAAAACCGTGGCTTTTTTTTTTCTGCTACAGCTTAAAGGAGCTGTGGCACACCGCCAGCAAACAGAAAGAGGCTGTGTGTTAAACTCGGTAGTTTTGTGACTAGAATTCCCTTTCAAGCCCTCTCAGGTTTTAAGTGGATTTTAGTCAACCACATCTCTGCCAATTTGTTGTGTGAAGGAAGGCCACTTGTTTGTTCCTGACTGCTCAGCCCCGAAATAATCACACAGAAACTATACTATTTAAATCACTGCTTGGCCCATTAGCTCTAGCTTCTTATTTGCTAACTCTTACATCTTAATTTAACCCATCTCCACTAATCTCTGCATAACTACAAGGTTGCAGCCTACCAGCAAAGTTTCAGCACATCTTTCTCCAACGGTGGCTTCTCTCTAACTCTTCCTTCTTCCTTCTTCCTCCCAGCATTCAGTTTAGTTTCTCCCACCTACCTCTATTCCCTGTGCAGGCCTAAGACAGTTTCTTTATTAACCAATGATATTCATAGCATACAGAGGGGAATCCCACATCACAGTACTCTCTGAATCTGACAGTGATTTTATCCATGGTTCTCAGTAACCCCCTCTGCTCACCATACCTTCACACAGTGGGGTACAAAGTCTATCCTACATGTCCCCTCTTCCTCTTACAGCAGAAGTGACTATAGACCTAGCTTGTGCAGACAAGGGAGGGTAGGAATTGGGACATCAGGACTCCAACTTCTAGATGCCGGGGTAAACAGAAAATAGATTGTTGAGTGGAGGATCTTGATAGGGTGGGAGTTAGAATTTACAGTAGAAGGAATTCCATTAAAAGCACAAGGCCTAGTCTGGCAAACTGGCACACATCTTCAATCCCAGTACTCTGGAGGCAGAGGCAGGAGGATCTCTGAGTTCGAGGCCAGCCTGGTCTACAGAGTGAGTTCCAGACCAGCCAGAACTACAAAGTGGGGACTGTATCAAAGACAAAAGAAATGAGGAAAACCCTAAGTCCTAACACATCAGGACTGCCTCTCCGGGCAGTCCAGTGGCTGAGAGCTTTGTTGAAGCCTGCTCAGTTATGATGGATCCACAGCATAGCTACAGCACACATGGCCCTGGGGAAGGCTGAGATCTTAGCTTGCCAGTGTGGCTCAAGTTTTCTTCAGGCCCCAAAGCAATCAAGTGTCCAGGACTCAAGAAATCAGGATAGCAAAATGGAGCCGGGATGCAATGGCCAGTCACACTGATGAGCATAGGGTGGGCCATGCAGTGGAACAAACTGGACCACACACTTCCTGACCTCAGCTGCTCAGCCCATCTTTGATATTTGCCATGGGAGTCATTCTGCGCTCGTCAGATGGGGTGGTGAATGTCATAAACCACAAGGCGGCCACAGAACCACGTGATCAACACTGAGGTCCATCTGCATCCACACCCACTCTGTGTACATAGGAAAAGTGCCTCTTTCTCTAGGCAGCAGAACCCCAGAGGGTTAATTTTAACCTACCCTCTCCATGGCCCAGAACGCTTGCCTACACATCTGTATGCCTACATCTGTATGCCCCCATTTCCCTCGCTTCTCCCTCATCTGTCTAAACTGAGCCTGCTCCTAACCCGTTTTCCTCGGCACCTCAAGCCACTTAATACGACACGGGTCTCTTCGTCCTTGCCTCACCGTGAGATGCAAATCAACTGTAGGCCCCACGAGGAAACTGAGGCACAGTGAACCTGAGACCCAGGATTTCAGGGCTGAATGTTCACACAAACCACTTCCTGCGTTTTAAGCGGGTCTTCCACTGAAAAGCCAAAGTAGTTAGACAAGAGCAGAGTCCCCACCTGGCACAGGCCCCACGTCACCCTCCACCCTCAGTCCCACCCTACCCTCGCCCTCCGTCAGGAGTGCCTTTTCCTCTCATCCTCTCTTCTCAACAGAGTGCAGAAAGAACAGCTGGCTGCCATCTTCAAGCTCATGAAAGACAACAAGGAGACGTTTGGCGAGATGACTGATGGCGACATGCAGGAGCAGCTCCGGCTCTATGACATGTAGGCCTATGGCCCAGCAAGACGTGACCCAGGACATCCTGACAACCCTGAGGGACTTGGTCCAGGCGGTTGTGATCCCCAGACTTTCGAAGGACTGTCTCGTAAACACAGATAGCGTGGTGTGTTGTATAAGGATTCGCCCGGCCCCTGCAATTTTGATGTCCTGTTTGAGGAATCGGCATTGTTTTCTTCAGAGGAGGAAACCCCTGACTCCTCTGGCTTCAGCTCACTGGTGAGGCTCCAGCTATGTCATCTACAGACCTAGGGCAGGTGGGCCCAGGTGCTTGGACCCTGAGCACACTGTGTAGACAGAATATGGGGTGCTATAGGGGTGATGGGTGTTACCTAGTAACCCTATACTCTTCATTCTGCCCTAGGGGTATTTCTGGAGGTATCTGGGGTGGCAGCAGATAGTCTGATTGAAAGGCTCAGCTGTTCCCCTGGGACAGAACAGTGGGGTCAGCAGTAGCTGCCACTGCCGACGCTCACCTCCAGGACAGTCATGCCTTGAGCAAGTTTGGCACAAGCTGGACACTGTAGGCACAAAAAATAAAACACACAACAGGACCTGGGGTAGAACACGTGGTTAGCAAGTTCAAGGCCCCTGAGTTCCACCCCCTCCAACCCCCACCTACCACCCCAGGATGACAGCGTGATCCGTGCCTTTGGTGAGACTACAAGCCCTTTTGAAAATGAGAAAGAACCAGAGAGCTTCCAGGGAAATGCTCCAGGGTCCCCAGAATAATGCCTGCGTTGCAGAGTAGACTGCTCCATGATGATGGGAATGAGTGAGCCACAGTAGCCCCATCATGCCCACCAGTCCCACTTCTTGTCACCCCTCTTAGCCGGAAAGTTCATAGCCTGAGCAAACTGAATCAAGG